GACGTAAATGAAAATTTCCCGATACCAAACGTTTTTGTAAAGTTATCGTATAGCTGATTCATGCGAGTACACGCAAGCAAAGCAAAAGATGTGGTTCAAGCAAACCTTTTTCACTTAAGGGGAGTTTAGTGAGTAGGCATGTATGTGTCAAAGAAGGATACGTGGAGGGAAAGAGCACAAATGAAGGCTCTACAAAGTTTTAAATCGTTTTAACACATAATTGATCATAGATAAAATGATTAGTAGATGTCCTCACACAAAGAAGAAAGGCAAATAATAGCCCTTTTGACCACATGTTGCCAAAAAAAAAATCCGACCTTTTCAATTTTAGACCAATTGGTCGTCCTATTTGGCAAAAATTGTATATATATATATATATAAAGAGAGAGACATCCGCGCTGATATTACTAATAAGTTATCCTTGAACATACACACGGGTAACGATCTATGAAATGTTGTGTTACTAGTTAGTTATTCGTGAATATCTTGTACTCTGTTTTGAACAACTATTTTCATGTGTTTCTAAATTTCAACTAAATCTTTGCCGTCAGTACTGAATGCCAAGAAACCGTCTTTTATCCCCGATTTTGGGCCTCAGTATAAAAGCTTCCCAAATCTAAACATATTTATTTCGAACGATCCCTTACATATTCATCCCAATGCTCATATAAATCTGTATTTCCACTCCTGTGGTGATCCAAAATCCCATATGGAAGCTTCTATTAAAATTACCTTAAAACTGAATCTAGATTGCCGTTTTGACCGACCCCTTACGTCAAAATTGTAGGAATAGTTTACATTTCAAATGAACACAGAAACATGCACTGGCACACGAATAAGAAATAGTGTCTGGATTGTTGATATTGTATGGAACTTCTGCTCGAAATTAAATAAGAATGTATAATAATATGCCTCACTGTATCTGTCATTCCGTTGCTGACGAGGTCTTTAGCTTGACACCAGCGCTCTTCAAGTCGACTAGGATACTCCAGACATAAAACTGGTTGATATTCTGTTTATATTAGTACATTATTTGGTAACAGCTGTTACGGTGTGAATAGCATTAAGTAGGTGACGTTTTAATTTATCTCATTTTTACTTATGTCACAATACGTAAAAATTGGGGTGAAGATTTTTCAATAATAGTATTAATAATGTTATTTATTTTAACACCGTATTATATTAATTATTACTTTATTGAATTAACCTAATCAGTATTGTGTTGAATGATATTATAGAACTGCTTGTTTGTTTGTTTTTTTTAATTTATGTACAAAGCTACACAATGGGCTATCTGTGCTCTGCCCACCACGGGTATCGATACCCGGATTCTAACGTTGTAAGTCCGCAGACATACCGCTGTGCTACTGGGGGTACGGGCTATAGAACTGCACCATCAGTCCCAACATTACGTGCACGAATCTTTGTCTGTGGTGTTTCCGATGCTCGCGCCTATTCAAACAGCTCGTTAGAGTACGTCCTATCAGGTAACGCTTGTGTCACCACTCGAGCGCCGTCGAACAGCACGAGTCTAGCAAGTGAAATTTATCACAAACAGCGTTACTCAACTGGGCGGGTTTATAATAGAAAATCAATAGTAAACCGACCATAATCGTATGTTGGTGTCAGTGTCGTTCATTAGACTGGCCGGCATGCGGACATTTCCTTTACGAACGTGTAGATCCGTTAAAACATATTGAACTCTGGGAAAATAGATAAAAGCCTCACCATTTTCTTCTAGCTGCCACTTTGACTAATCGTGTCATACATTGAAGAACCGTATTTCCTTTTCATTGATGTTTTCGTGGTTACGTAAAATCGTCAGAGTATGAGTCTGCTCTGCCAGATCCAGACTATAGCCAAGCACTAGGAGATACTTTTCTAGTATGACCAGACTCGCACTACTGAAACACGCATGTAACAGCTCCTTCCAGGATAAAAGCGATCGGAAACAGACAAATCTGTGCTCGTTCAATTGTAAGTAAACTTATTTCGAACTAACAAGTTCTTGTAAAAATCTAAACTTGAATAGACAGAAATACGTTATGTTTTGTGTATTATTCTGGTATTAATTGTTTGTATTTGATGTGGAAAATTGTCTATCAGATCTCTAAAAATACGCACTGTGAAATACATTTCTATAGTTTATACGAACTGGTATATTTTTATTTGAATATGAGTTATGTTAGTTAAATAGCTTTAAAACTTACTTCTTAATTTTCTTGTTCGTGTTACGAGTTCGGTGAAAAAAAAAATTTCGTGGGGTGAATTTGTAAATAATCTGATCTGCCATGTTCCTATTTATTAACTTATATTTAATATAAAAAAATAATAAGCTGCTTCGTTATTTTGAAGTTGATTTTATATCCATTATTGACGTATAACGACTCGTGCTAGGTGTGGTAGATAGAGTTCGGTGCTGGCGAGCCGGATCCATGCCATATTCCCGCACTGTAAGAGTTACAGTGAATCATTTAGTAGAGGTAGTGGTGAGTGCTGTTGACATACTGCATTCACCCTCAAAATTAAGGACTGCGGCAGGTAACCTCGGTAACTGTGCCCTAAATACAAAACATAAGTACAAATTATATACCTGATGATGACAAAACCTTGTACATTTGCTGTTATGTTAAACTTATATTAAAGTTTTTCTTCGTTACCCTTCAAGCCGTCTCCAACCATTATTAGTCTCAAAGTGGGTTCCTCGTCATCGAAGTCTGAGATTATTATTATTGGATTGTAGAAAAGAGACTGTGGAACTTTTTCAAGCCTGGTAGAAATATTTTTTCACATTTCTGTCTTATTCATTAAAACCTGTCCCCTAGTGATCTAGCAGTAGCGCTAGAATCCGGAGTTCTATTATCCGTGGTGGACGCACCAAAGATAGCCCATTGTATAACTTTGCGCTAAACAAACATTAAAACCTGATATAATTCTTAAAACATTGATGTGGTTTCAGGGGTCAAGACTAAAAATTAGACAAACGGGGAGAGACACGTGGTTGCTGTCCTAAACTAGTCTTCCAGAAATATTGCCTCTGTAAACTTTAAATTTTAAAAAGTTTCAATAGTAAGGATTAAATCAGTGACAGTACTTGAAACTAATGGCTAGTGTTTGTGCGTTCCGTATGTAAGGTGTACGCTATTATTTCTTTCCTTAACAGTATTTGTTACAATGCTGATAATAGATCTAATTGTATTACTTTTGAATTTTATTTATTATTATATTGTTATTATAGAGACTATTTTGAATTGTTAGCTTAATATGTATTTACGACTAACCTAAATATCCTAAGCTGGCCGAACGTCTTGAGACTTTATTGGGATTACGGCCGAAAATATCGTTAACAGCGAGTGTACCCAAATACATTCTAATCTTTACATATAAGAATGCAAGAACAATATATTTAATTAGCTATACTCATTACCAGGTAGATTATTAGCTTCACTCTAAGTAGGCAGCTTTCTGTAATATTAATTTACAACCCACGATTAACTCGTTGTGAAAGTTTGTATTTAGCAGTGATACGTTAACGTAATGAACGGTAGTATATCAGAGTACTCGTCACTGCATTCTGATTGTTGCCCGATTTGTAACGTTAAGATTCATTTGTCCATTTAAAAACTTTTCGAGATTCGAGAAAAAACAACATGTTTATTATTATTGTTTCCGAATTAGTATTACGACCCTTTGAGATTTCAATTTTCATCGGAAATTTATCAAACAGGTCTATAAGTAAACGGTGTCGAGGTTCATCGACACTGGTAATGCACAGATTAGTTGATGTGGTCACGTGATTCTTGGAAGTTTGTCCAAAAACGAGAATATTATAATTAGCAATGACTGACGCAGTTTTCGCCACGTGCTCTTGCTATCAAGTGACGTGTACAGAAAATCCAGTTGGACTATACAAATTACCAGGAAAAGATTAACAAAGGAAATGAAAGCCGATTTGAAATATTGAGACATCAGTCAATGAAGTCTCAGGATTCATTACCGTATCTTATAAATTTGTTGATAATATTGCGTCAGTCAGAAGCACGTCAACTCCTCAACCAATCAGCACGTTACTTTGTCTTTACAAAAGATTGGTGTGCGGTCCTGTGTCTCTTGCCACAGCGAATAATAAGAAAACGGCCCTCTAGGCTCGTCGCCAGAAGTGTCGTTTATTTTTTTGTAGGCAAGAAATTATTTCGAAGTTCCTCCAGCAAATTACCAAATTATTTTCATTCATAATTAACTGGGAGCTACTCGTTAGTTGCCAGGGTTTCAATTATCCCACTGTCACTAAACATACTGGTTGTTACACATCTATATCATACCATTTTGTGTACGTTATTATGCATCTAATACTAGTGTGAGAGATTTTTACTTCAATAATTATTTTCACTTTGACAAGATTGTCAATCTACGACTTTATCTTTACTCGAAAACTGAATAGTGCATCTGTATCAACTGAGTAAGAAACAAAATTTTAATTTGCATTAATCATTTTTTTGTTTTCCAGTTTGTTTTCCATTAATTTGTTTCAAAACGCGTGGTCCAGGCGTGGCTTAGTGATGCCTGGGCTGTGAATCTAAGAGTCTGATTCGAGACCAATTTCTGCAAGAACATACTTCTCAATTTGGGGCCTTGGATGCGTTATAAGGGTGACAGTGAAATAACACTATTCAGTTAGACAAGAGGTGGCGGTGGGTGCTGTTGACTAGCTGCCGTCACTCAGTTCTATAGGTTCATAAGTAGGGACAACCATGCACGTTTGGTCCTTGAGTATTGCTTTCAACAAAAACCTGAAACAAACAAAATTCAACACATGCGCTATGATTATTTGCATGTTAGTATATTCGACACTGATTGGTTTCAAACCCTGCACTATACGTCGTGTGCCTAATAAGTATACATGTCATTAATTGTTTTCAAAACATGCACTGTAGCGCATACCTAAACTAAAAAGCGGCTTTTGTCTGTATGTCTGTGGCGAAACCTTTCCAACTTCCGCCCTCTGATCAACATGACACTTTCGGGGATTCTTGGGTAAGGCCCAGGGGGATTCTAAAAACCTTAACGTTATTCATTTCCCCAATTTTAAGAGTTTGACAGCCATTTCAATCCTCCCCCGTTGCTATTGCCTTAGTGCAGTGATTCTCAACCAGGGGTAAATTTACCCCTTGGGGTAAAAAATTACATGGCAGGGGGTAAATAATTGATGTACTTGATGATTGAATAATAATTCAATTAAATTTCATTTTGTAAAATGTGTGTGTGAGAGAGAGAGCGAATGCTAAGAATGTGTGTGTGTATACTATTTTTGTGCAAAACCTGGATAATATTTTTTTTCTGACCTTGTTTTTCTGTTCCTTTATGATGGCTATGAATTTTTTGTATGGAAGTAAAGGGGTAAATGGAGAAATACATCAAGCCGAGGGGGTTAATGATGGAGGAAAAGTTGAGAATCCCTGCCTTAGTGCATGGATGCAAATTATGGAAGGCAAGAGGGGGCGCTAGCTCCATTGAAAAGGTTAAAATAATCTTAGAGTACTCTTTTTTTACATTAATGCTCTTTGTGTTATAAAGTTATACAGTACAATCCAATGTCAGGCCACATATTACTGCATTTTCATTTAACAAAACAAACAAAAAAAATTCCAAAGTATCGTAAAAATACTCTTTCCAAAATTAAATCTTAAATAGCGTTGGTACTTCAGTTAGTTCCTACTCTGATCGCCATGACAGTTTCAGGTTATCACCCAGATAGAGCTTCAGTACTTCCAGTAATATACGTTAGGTAATAAATTTTGAATAGTTACATCCCTCGAAGAAACTGGTCATTAGTGGGTCTCTTTCCAGAATATTTTATGCTAGTATTCAGTAGACCTGCGTGGCTGGCGTATGTATAACGTACGCGCCGTCTCGCCATACCTGCGAAGCCAACGGAAGTAAATGTCGCGCGTGACACGGGTACCTCTGCTAGTATAGTTTAAATTTTATCAATAGTTCAGGTAATATGGCGAGGTTTTAGTTACATATGATTTCGTTCACTCAGAACCCAAATTAAAAAAAAAAATGAATGGAAAATTTGTTTGAGAAAAGGGAACGTCGTTTTTTATTTCTGTTTGAAAAATTATGGATTCATAGACACTAAATACTTTTTGACATCCCTATCCGAAGACGAAGTTTTCCTTATAAGAAGCCTAGTGATTATCGTGCCAGGGTGGGGGATCAGAAGGTCCAAGGTTCGAGCCGACATGCTGCAAAACATGTTTTAAATGTAGCCCCCCCCCCAGTGGCACAGCGGTATGTCTGCGGACTTACAACGCTAGAAACAGGGTTTCGATACCCGTGGTGGGCAGAGCACAGATATCCCTTTGTGTAGCTTTGTGCTTAACTATAAACAAATAAATGTAGGCTATTTTGTTGAGAGAAGCGGTGTGGACGGTGGGTGCTACTGACTAGTTGCCTTTCCTCTGAGCAGCTGAGACGACTATAGGCATGAAACTTAGAGTCTCTGGCGTAGCCGTTCAGGTTGAAAATGTTACAAATAGTGAAGGTTTGTTTGTTTGTAGTTAAACACAAAGCTGCACAATGGGCTATCTGTGCTCTGCCCACCACAGGTATCGAAAACCGATTTCTAGCGTTGTAAGTCCGCAAACATACCGCTGTGCCACTGAGGGGGGGGGGGGTCAAGTATTGAAGGAGATACGAAACATAAAAAAAAAGTATAACAACACTGGTGACTCTAGATAATACAAGAAGCACATAAGCTCCGCATACATTAAAGAAGACAAAGTGACTGCTAACTCTAAATAGGGAAGTCTGAATCATAGGCAGAAAAATCAACGAATATCTATTCAAATGTTTCTAGAATGATCTTAGCAAAGGAATCAAGTGAACCCACATAAGTTATTGTTTACATGAACTGTTCCAAGACGCTTGTTTGTTTGTTGTGTCCACCACGGGTATCGAAACCCGATTTCTAG